AGGGAATTGGTGGTGTTATTGGTGGTGCAGCAGATCTGATCACAATTGGCGGTGCTGTCCAGGGCCAGCCTCAGAACCAGAAGCGCGATCCTCAACGCAGCCGTGGCCGTCTCATTGGCAACATCGCTGAGGGAATTGGCGGTGCTATTGGCGGTGCTGCCGACTTGCTTACTATCGGCGGTGCTGTTCAGGGTCAGAACCAGAAGAGAGGCCTTATGGTCGTGGATGATCTCGGTCAACCAAGAGTGGTCAGCGAACCCGCCGACTACGACCTCGCCGAGGGACAGAATGAGAAGCGCGATCCTCAACGCAGCCGTGGCCGTCTCATTGGCAACATCGCTGAGGGAATTGGCGGTGCTATTGGCGGTGCTGCCGACTTCCTTACAATCGGCGGTGCTGTCCAGGGCCAGCCCCAGAAGAGAGGCCTTACAGTTGTGGATGATCTCGGTCAACCAATAGTGGTCAGCGAATCCGCCGACTACGACCTCGCCGAGGGACAGAATGAGAAGCGCGATCCTCAGCGCAGCCGTGGCCGCATCATTGGCAATATCGGTGAAGGAATTGGTGGAGCAATTGGCGCTGCCGCGGATTTCCTCACTATCGGTGGTGCTGTCCAAGGTCAGAACCAGAAGAGAGGCCTTACGGTCGTGGATGAGCTCGGTCAACCAGTAGTGGCCAGTGAGTCTGCTGACTACGACCTCGACCTCCCAGAAGTCCAGAACGAGAAGAGAGACCCTCAGCGCGGCCGTCGCATTGGCAACTTTATCAAGGGCTTTGGCGAAGGTATTGGAATTGCCGGAGATCTACTCACCCTCGCTCCCCAAGACTCTCAGCCAGCTGCAAAGAGGGACGTTCCGCTAGTCCTTGATGACAAAGTCAACAGCATTGATGCGGAGCACGCGACGGTGGGATTGTTGGCGCCAGCGATTGAGTACGAGAAGCGCGATCCTCAGCGCAGCCGCGGCCGCATCATTGGCAATGTTCTTGAGGGCGTCGGCGGTATCATTGGCGGTGCTGTCGATCTGGGCACCATTGGCGGAGCCATCCAAGGCCAGAACCAGAAGCGCGATCCTCAGCGCAGCCGCGGCCGCATCATTGGCAACATCGTTGAAGGAGTTGCTGGAGGTGTCGGTGCTGTTGCCGATGCCATCTCTATCGGCGGAGCTGTCCAGGGCCAGCAACCCCCCCAGAAGCGCGAACCCCAGCGCAGCCGCGGCCGCATCATTGGCAATGTTCTTGAGGGCGTCGGCGGTATTATTGGCGGTGCTGTCGATCTGGGCACCATTGGCGGAGCCATCCAAGGCCAGAACCAGAAGCGCGATCCTCAGCGCAGCCGCGGCCACAACATTGGCAAGGTCATCGGGGGACTCGGTGATGGTCTCGGTGCCTTCGCTGATATCATCTCCATCGGTGGAGCTGTCCAGGGCCAGGAGCAACCACAAGCCTAGGTACACGGCTACTAGTGGTGAAGCTGGACCCAGAACGGGGCAGAGCCAATCGTGTCGGGTATGTCGCTGAGCGCATCTTCTTACCATAGATTGTTACCTGTTTGTTTTATGCTCTAAATTGGATGATTAGCAATGCAATTGATTTTTACATATATGTGCTTGACAAGTTTGCTATCGTGATGATTATCAGAGTTCATCATTAAGTTCCAAGCAGCTACGTAAGTAAACATAAAGTGACTTCTAACTTCATTTACCATTATTGGAAGTCAGCACATTAGCTTAGGTCTAGAAATTCATGCAGTGGTACGAGCATTCGTGGTAGTGTCGTAAATGAGAAGGTTGAGGGACGTCAGTGATGTTCCAACCCCTTGCGAAAATCATCACCTTAGTATCCCCTTAACTCTCTTGGCGGTCACGTGGCTTGACTTGCACCATCCCAGTTTTCCTTTTCCTTTTGCTTGTTCGTTTGACAAAATCAAGTAAGCTGATGCGTAATCATCATGTGCCTTATATGTATCATTTTCAATACTTTCGTCTCCTATACTCAGCATAATCTCTGAATCCTTCTTGACCTATCGTTCACTGGTTCTCAAATAGTTTTTCATGTTGTTCCTTTTTATCTAACTACTCAGGTTGTTATTTCATCAAAATCCCGCAACTCAACGAATATCAGAGCGACAAAGATACTAAGAAAAAGTAAGTCGGCACACGAATTTACTTCAAAATAGAAGAGAGAATTTCCCACAATTTCACCGAAATCAGGTTCCTGCAATCTTGCTTGGAACATGCTCATCATAATACAAAGTTTCTCCGCTCTTCCCACCCTCAAACAACCCAAGCGCAAGCTTCGCAACAGCATCTCCACACAGCTCTGGCGGCTCCACCATCTCATCTCCCATATCGTCCCAAATCCTGAATCTCTCAATCTCATGATCCGCCATTACCCCCCTGTACTTGCCTTCGACCAGCCCATCAATCATCTTCGTTCGCGTCAATTTTGGATACACACCCTGAACGCTGAGCAAAGGCTCTTCATGCGCAAGACAAGAAATGAAGCGTGTGAGTGCAGCTTTCGTCGTGCTGTAGGGCATCCAGCCGTGATATGACACTGTGCTATCGCAGGCTGAAGAAAGGATAATGACTTTTCCGCGACCATAATTATGTGGGTGGGATGCCTTGGAAGCACGAAGATGTGGGAGGACAAGTTGAATCTACAAATTCCATCTTAGCATACATAATAGCAGAAGAGATGATTCTTAACAAAGACAAGGGAGGACCAAGGTGAGACGTACCATGCTCATAGCCCCAAAAACATTAACGTCAAAACTCCGCTTTGTAGCCTCGATATCCAGCTTTTCTAGTCGTTGGATCGGCGTAATGATGCCCGCGCAGTAGACCAATGTGTCCAGGCCGCCAAACACATTGAAGCATGTTCGCATCGCCAACTCGCGGTCTTCAGCCACCGTCACATCGCCCTCAACAATGCGCAGCCGCTCTCTTTGCTGCTTAGTAAATTCGAGTTTTATGCTCGAGTCGATGAGGCCGAATGCTACTACTTTGGTGTTGAGTGGGAGATATGGGCCCGAAAGTATGGTTTGCGTTATTGCATATCCGATTCCGGAGGTTCCGCCGACGACCAGAACAACTTGGGGCTTGGACGACATGGCTTAACGCGGAAACCTGAAGAGATATAAGATGGTATTATGTATGTTCTGTTCGGCTGAAAAGATACAATGGACGAACATAAGCGTTCCAATGACGTGATGGCTTGCGAAGATTTGGAGCTTGTGCGTATCGAGATGCCTGGAAGTGGAGGTGTGCCCCGCGCTAGGTGCGGAATAGGTAAAATTCAGAGGGATGGCACCACTGCGGATGGCGTTTTGAAACTTCTAGCATGCCTTGCATTATGTATGATCTAAAAGACACTATAAATCTATAGGTTTGCCTTTGCAACTGACCCTGAGGCACCCGCAATTCCCTCCTCGATGCCCTTGATCTGCAATGCCAAGATCCTGCTGTAGTAACGAGACAGAGCAAGATTGCCGCCCATGAACCACAAACCAGGGTGCCCGCTCTTCTGCCACATGGTCCGGAACTCACCTTCGTCGTTGAAGCCCCAAACGTCATTCACACGATCTGCGACTTCATCGCCAAAAATCTTTCGTGCCTGCGTGCGCATGTTCTGGTACCCAGTTGCGAACACGATCTCGTCAGCTTCCAACTTATCGCCATCGGCAAACTCCATGCCGTTAGGTAGGATTTGTGAAATCTCCTGGCCCTGCTTTATCTTGATCTTGCCATCGATAATCAATTGAGATGCACCGACATCGATGTAATAGCCACCGCCGCGCTGGAAATACTTCATTAGCAAGCCTGAGTCCATCGGCCCTTTATCCAAGCCGAAGCCAGCTTTACGAAGACCATCGAGAATCTCCTTGTCGGCCTGGGCCGAGACTGCAGTGACCTTGGTCTGTATCAATTTCAACAATGCGCTTGGCATACTCCAAAAGGTAAGATCAGCATCATCGACAGGTGGCGAGTCTTGGTCGTAGATGCCCTTGTTTGCGATATCAGTTATAGAGGTGGAGGTAACAACGCATGTTGTACTACGCTGAACCATAGTGACATCGTAACCCTTTTCGAAGAAGTCTTGTGCGATATCATGACCAGAGTTGCAGCTTCCTACTACTATCGCTTTCTTGCCCTTTGAGTCTGGATTCGCGCCTGGGTGTTCAGAGCTGTGACATAGGCGGTCGCCTTTGAAGTTCTCCATGCCCTTTATCTTAGGAAAGTTCTTCTCGCCCGAATGGCCAGTCGCTTGCACAATATGTCGCGGGTGCAACGTCCGCGTTTCAGTGCTCCCGTCCAACTTTCGGCGCTCGACCGTCACCGTCCACTGCTTCTTACCCTCGTCCCACGAGGTTGACTTGATAGTTGTGGAAGTCCAAACGTTGAGCTCGAGAAGGTTTACGTACGCTTCAAAGAATTCGGCAAGCTTATCTTTAGGTGTGAACACTGGCCAATGCGCAGGGAAAGGCACATATGGTAGGTGGTCATACCATACTGGATCGTGTAGTACGAGTTGCCGATAGCGTTTGCGCCAGTTGTCGCCCACTCTTTCATTCTGGTCGATCATCAATGCGGGTACATCAAGCATCTTCAGTCGTGCAGCGACTGTAAGTCCACCCTGCCCAGCTCCCAAGATGAGTACTGTAGGATCAATGCCTTCTCTTTCCGCATCCCGCATCTCTTTCCAGGTCTTCCTATTCGGGTCACCACCGTGCTTTACACCCTTAGTTCTGCGATGATTGAGAGGCTCCTCATGGCCCTTGAGCTCCTGTAGCAAAGTATAGAGTGTAAAAATCCTCCACTGCCCATTGTCTTCAGCCAGGTTCATTACACCCTCACCGCGACCGATGCTCGTCTCAAAATTCACAAAGAAGTTGACGCCCTTGACTTCACCGAGGAGGTCTATCGCACCAAACTTTGGGGCTCGAAACTCGGAGTTCTTGCTGATTTGGAGTTTTGTCAATTGCATTTTGCTCGAGTCTAGATATGCTTTGATCCCCGAGTTACCCTTTACTGTCCGGAGTTCCCAAGAAAGAGCCAGATGATCTCTCCAGTAGCTATTCTCCTTGCAGAACAGGCCGGAGACGGCTGCATAGTCATTCTTCGAGATAGCATCGTTGAAGCGGGCAACCACCTCGTCGGCGACCTTGGCAGCATCGATAGACTGGCTGGTTGACGAGGCTGGAAACACACCAAGTGGAAGATTGACAGACCCAAACTCAGGGCGCTCGCTCGAGGGGATGGATGCGTCACCTACACCCATGACGTTGGTGTGTTTAGTGTGGAGAAAGTTGAAACGAATGCTGTAAGATTGATGTGATGAGAATGAGCGAGTTGCGGTGACCAGACGACACGCAGGCTCATGAAGGTTAAAAGTCAGAAGAAGCGTAGTTAGCTGGTATCGTCAATTCGGTTTTCCATCTTGGTACAACCCGTAGACGCGTCTAATTCCTGGGTGTACTGTCGAAAGAGGAATAGGCAGTGTGTAAAACTGACGGTCGCCAAACCTTCTTTGGAGAGAATGTGCGGGGATGGAGGGGCAGCGGACGGCCTCCGTGGAGACAAGAGCTGTCTCACTGCCTTTGGCCCTTGCTCGGCCCGCCATACCCCGCACCGCCCTCCGATCATCGCACACTCCAAGTTGGGACGCTGTCCTGGACCAATCGCTCAAATGGGACGAAGGGAAAAAGGTACAAAGCTCATGTTCTTCTAGGCGTCGACTTCGAATGTCCCTGGCGCGGCATCCTGTCGATCACTTGCGTAGCGTTGAGGATCAAACACCAGGGCCACGGCGGTCCTTGGTCTCACGTAAGCAAGCCCCTTGCCCATCGCAAAACATACAATCGATCACCACTCCACTTATTACGCAAGCCCAGCCAGATCCCAAGTGTACAAAAAAATTGATCATTGCCTACTACTGAATAGCAAGGTTAGTAGTTGTGTTGTCGGCACGCCATTTGACCGAAATTGGAAATTTCGGAACGCGAACCAATCCGGGATGGCGCTTCGACCATCCCATGGTCCAGGCAGGGAGCCTGGGTTGCGGCTATACGACACTGGACGACAACAAGTACGAGCTCGATTGATGTGGCGTATTTTCTTTCGGTTAGTGCGATAGCGGTACAGTATAACCAAAGTGGGGTGTACCTAAGTATACCCGCCCAGCAAAAAGGAGTCATGGACATTACGCATCAGTGCGAGTGGCTTACGGCCGATACTACTATATGGTGACAGACCTGTCAGAAGAACTACCAATCTGGGGAAACGTCAAGGATTCTCGGGCGAATTCTCAGACAGACCTACGGAACATCATGGATCTGACTCGTCAACGCAAATCCTTGAACTCACCTTCAGCCAGTTGTCAGCAAGCCTCACTTGTACACCAATACGACCACACCCCATGGCCGTCGTGTTTTGATGTGTGAAAGAGTACATACCTCATGTGTTGAGAGAGAAAAGATGAATTCTGATATCGGCCAATGTCCTGACGCTAAGATTCATTGCTCTACGCAGATCCCGCTCGAGTTCGACTGAGAAACTCACACACGCACGAAATAATAGTTACTGGCAAACCTACGTTTATGTTTGTTAGTACGATGCGTTGATCACTCGAATTTCCGAAACCCAATATATTAAATGAAAAAGATCAACCCTATATGTCCAGGATTTAGAGTGTGGAGTGAAACTTTCCTACAGAAAAGAGGAAGTCGATCTATTACCACAATAACACTGGCAAAAGTAATATGCGTTTTGGCTTCTCAATTGCATTCTCAAA